CTGAACCGGCGCCGACATTCTAACCGAACCCCCGTTCGAGTTTGGTCTAGGGTTCTTCGATAATCCCCTCCGAAGCCAAACTCGACCTTCATGAAGCCGCGATAGCATGAACCAATTCACATAGAAGAAGAATCCGACCAAAGCAATGCCGCCGATCGCGATTCTAGCCGTTCTCCTCTGGTGCCAAGCTCGTGCTCTCTTCCCCTTCGCTTGTTTAACCCGTGGCTTGAAATTCGGATCCCCGAAGATCCCTAACCAAATCGACCCGACATCCAACCCACCATCTCGGAGCTTGTCTCCGGCGAAGACCGAGAACCGGGTCGGTACGAGACGAGGCGACTGATCCGGAGAATCGCCATGGATCCGGTCCAGGACCCGAGTGTCGTGGGTACCGGGTTTCTCTTCGTCGGGTCTGTCATCGGCCATGAGCAAGCTCCGGCCTTTTCGGTCTTTCTCTGCTTTGATCGATCCACAGAGAGAATCGCTTCATACAGTCAAGAAGACATAGCAAGATTTGCCATATTTTGACGAAGAACGTGAGTGTGTCTGAATTTCAGTGTCTTTTTTTTTCCCTTGCTTTTAAATTTGTCATAACGTATTCAATTATCAAGTCCTAATCCTTGAGATCAACGCTATTCTTTTAATCCCTACACCCCGATATTTTCAAATAGTTTAATGATTAACCCCTAATTTTAGTTAATTACAAAATAAAACACACACACAATTTTAAGCTTCTATTTGTAGCCATTAGGCGAAAAAAAATAGGAGTGATTATGACAAAAGCTCTAAAGCCATAGCACTTACGAAATAATCTTACAATTTAAATTTATTGTGGAAAACTATGATTTTTAGCTAATATTATTTTACTATTATTGTTAGAATTATTATTATAATTATTACTTGTTATTGATAATTATGTATGTTGATTCAGCCCTTTAGGTGATAAGAGAATTTAATCTATGCATATTATATTTCGAGTTGAGTTATTTGATATTTTTTGATTCAAGACTTCATATAGCCATATGATGGGTGCTTAGTAATCATTTTTTTTTTTGTAATAATGTGCATTATATGAATAAGAAATATCACATTCTGCCAAGGCCCGATGATATTACTGGGCGTTTACAACCTGGGCCTTGAAATTTTACTTTTTCAAGATCCAATTGGTTATATTTGTTTTGCACAATTTGTTAAAATAATAGCACTACAGTATTATTATTATTTTTTCACACTTGTATTATTTCCTTTATAAAATTACCTATCATGCATATATTTGTATTCTTTCTGTCCCCATTTCTATCATTTGAAAGCGATTTTAATTTTCTGATATAAATATTCCGAAAGATTCATCATATTGAAGAATCAGCATCAATATTTTTTTACCAAAAAAGGATATATAAATATTTATATTGCATATTGAAGAAACGTGATGGCATCGCTTGTGTTTTGTAAAAAAAAAATGTCTTCACATTAGATTTTGTCAAATAATAGTAAATCAACGACTCAACAAACGGCGTCGTTTATATTTGGGGACGGCAAGGCTTACGCACCCGTCATCCGCGGTTTATTATATTATAATATCTCGAGATTTCATTGGTGCGTGTATTTCACTGTCTTCTTTGGCGCGTTTGGTTGATGTTGCATGTGGCACGTAGGCGAAGTATCCGTTGCCGACCCACGTGGCAGCTTGCCGATCTTAGTGATATTCTCTACGTTCAATTGTGTGATTTATTATTTTATTTAGCCTGTATAAAATCTATTAAATTCATATGATCCCTATATTTTTGTTTATTCACGAACTCGCCTCTAAAATCTATGAGGTTCATCAACGCCCAACATTCTTATCTCACAACGATACCATTTTAGAATTATTTTCAAATTACTGCAATGTTTATCCATGTAAAAAAATATGGAACGGGTTTAAAACAAAAAAAATGTACTAAAAATGGTATGCATAATTCAAATATAATTGTGTATGCTCATATATTTTCAATTGATATAGAGACATAAAGAAAAATAACCTTATTTTTATATTATACAGGGTGTTTTTAAAGTCTAAAATCATTAGATTACGAGTCAATAGATTATTTGTTTAACTTAGAAGATCGCTATAAAAAAAATGAGCAAATATCTTTGGTTCCTGAAACATGAGGGCTTAAATGCAATTAACGCAAACTTAAGCAGGCTAAGTTTCAAGAAGAGACGAGACGCGGACTAACGTCACCATATACACAGTGCACCCTTAGTTTAAAATACACAACAAAAAAGGAAAAGTAAAAAAAAGGTTTCAACTTTCTTCTTCTCCTCCTTCTCCTTCACCTTTCCTTGTTCGTGTTTTTTCAGCGTTTTCGACGGAGTAAAACGGCACGTCGTCTCTTTTTTTCCTCTTCCTTTGTGTGCTGTTAAAGACTAGTACCGATCTCTCTGTTCTGCTACCTTTTTTTCCCCTGTTTTTAGCTTTCTGTCGGGAGAAACAGAAGGAGAAGCAAAGTTAAGGATGTATTTGTGTTCCGGCAGCGAAATGCTTTTCCTTTGAGATGAGTTGAGGAATATTTTCGTCTGATTTCTGGGTTCGTCTCATATTTTCTTCTTCTTGTTCTTTATATTCCCCCCGTCTCTATAGCTTTCTGGGCATAATCTGATATTCGAGGCTGCTTCTAGAGAAATATGAAGAAAAGGGTATGCTTTTTTTTTTTCGGATTAAGAATGGAATGAGAAGAATCTTTTTTCTATGAGAATGCTAGATTTTTATGGGTATGGGTTTCTAAAGGTAGAGACTTTAATCAAGAAGTTCTTTCGGTTTGGCAAGTGCCGGTTTCTATGAGATAATAAATGGTCCGAAACTTGATCTCGAATTTGAACTCTCATACACTGTTGTGGTAATACTTGCATAATATATTTTGTATGTATATGTAGGAACATATGGATTCATGGTTTGGCCGATTTGGGGGCTAAATGTTTTTGCAGGAGAAGCAGTGATTTCAAATAGTCAACATAGTGAAAGATGGCGACTTTAGGAGATATTGGGGTTGCAGCAGCAATCAACATTCTGAGTGCATTCATATTCTTATTGGCATTTGCAATCTTGAGGATTCAACCCTTCAACGATAGGGTTTACTTCCCGAAATGGTATCTGAAAGGTTTGAGGAGCAGCCCGTTGCATTCGGGCGCTCTCGTCAGAAAGTTTGTGAATTTGGATTTGGGTTCGTACCTGAGGTTCTTGAACTGGATGCCCGCCGCTCTTAAGATGCCCGAGCCCGAGCTTATCGATCATGCCGGGTTGGATTCTGCGGTGTACTTGCGGATTTACTTGATAGGGTAATGTTGCTGTCTCATGTTCTTTGATAGATGCATCATGTGTATCTATGGTATGTGCATTGCCAAGAATTTGTAGAGAACTTAAAAATGTCGGAAATGATACGTATATCTTATATCGGAGAGATAATAGATCCAACGATACTAAGAACCCTGTAAGTATCTAGGTGCTAAATCTTCTGTAGTTTCCGTTTTAAGTTTATAAAGCTATGGCTTATCGGAAATTTACTTGTCGTTGGATTGATGGAAAGATGGATGGTAAGCCTCGATTGTGTGATGGAAGATGAAAACTTTTTGTTTTTGCAGAGTTTTATGCGTACAGACTGTGTTGTAGCTAATATCTTGCTTGACATAGTTCATCTAAAGCTTAGTTTTTGTTTTCTGTTAATGATATTTCTATTACAGGCTCAAGATTTTCGTCCCTATAGCGTTACTTGCATGGACAGTTCTGGTTCCTGTCAACTGGACCAGTGACGGCCTGCAAATAGCGAAATTGCGTAATGTGACATCGAGTAATATCGATAAGTTGACGATCTCAAATGTCCAACCGGGTTCAGAAAGGTTCATACTTTTCTAGAGAAATCTCCTCATCTCTCTCGCTCTCTTTTCCCTTCCAACTTTTCTTCCTTTTTTAACAAAGAGATTCTAATCTTGAATTGGTTTCTTTACAAGGTTTTGGGCTCATCTCGTGATGGCTTACGTCTTCACTATTTGGACGTGTTATGTTCTGATGAAGGAATACGAGAAAGTAGCTTCTATGCGTCTGGAGTTCCTCCAGTCCGAGAGACGCCGTCCTGATCAATTCACAGTTACCATTTTATGAAATCTGTTCTAATACTCGGTCTATAACGTGAATTTTCTTTTGTTCTCATACGTTTTCGTGCTTTGTTCATAGGTTCTGGTTAGGAATGTGCCACCCGACCCGGATGAATCGGTTAGCGAGAATGTAGAGCATTTCTTCTTGGTTAACCATCCGGACCATTACCTTACACACCAGGTTAGCTCATTGTCCGAAAAAGCATCTGTCTTTCCCGCATGTTTTCCATTTTCTTGGTACGATCTCCGATACTTATTTGAATAAATTCCGTTTCTTGATTATCCAGGTGGTGTACAATGCTAATGAACTGGCCAAATTAGTTGGTAAGAAGAAGAAGATGCAGAACTGGCTCGACTATTACCAGCTGAAATATACGAGGAACAAGGAACAGAGGCCGAGAATAAAGGTTTGCGGGAAAAGTATCTGAGATCTGCGCGTAGAAAACCTAGTCTTGTCTTGTCTTTTTCTCTCCTGTCTAACATGTTTTTTTGTTGTAATCTTCCGAAACCAGACAGGATTTCTCGGTCTATGGGGAGAGAAGGTAGATGCGATCGATCATTATGCAGCCGAAATCGAGAAACTAAACGAGGAAGTACGTATTTTCGTCTGTATTTCTACAACGATGATAATAAATAAAAACACTCGGAATATCAACACCATATCATTTGCTTTTTTTTTTTTCCGGGTATTTTTCAGATAGAGGAGGAGAGGAAGAGAGTGACGAAAGATCCAAAGAGTGTGATGCCTGCAGCTTTCGTCTCGTTCAAGACACGGTGGGGAGCTGCCGTCTGCGCTCAGACACAACAGTCTAAAAACCCGACAGTTTGGTTAACCGAGTGGGCTCCCGAGCCACGGGAAGTGTTCTGGTCGAACCTGGCAATGCCTTACGTCTCTCTCACGGTGAGGAGGCTTATAATGCATGTTGCCTTCTTCTTCCTTACCTTCTTCTTCATGATCCCCATCGCCTTCGTCCAATCCCTCGCCAGCATCGAGGGCATTGAAAAATCTGCTCCCTTCCTCAAATTTATAATCGAAAAGTACGTTATCTCTTTCGATTCTTGCATTTTTTCTCTCTCATTACGATGAGTTTTGCTGTAAGTGTGATCTGATCAGCGCAGGAAGTTTATCAAATCGGTGATCCAAGGTTTTCTTCCGGGTATCGCGTTGAAGCTCTTTCTGATGTTTTTGCCGAGCATATTGATGGTCATGTCGAAATTCGAAGGCTTTGTATCGACGTCAACTTTAGAAAGGAGAGCAGCTTTTCGGTATTACGTGTTCAACCTCGTTAATGTCTTCCTCGGAAGCATAATCACTGGAACTGCATTTGAACAGCTCGATTCTTTCCTTAAACAATCCACGAATCAGTAAGTTCCCTCGAACCCTTTTTAGTATGCACTCTTGCAGTGAGAACTAAACAAATTTTTACGTGGGTTTTTTTATTAGGATTCCACGGACTGTAGGAGTCGCTATACCGATAAAAGCGACGTTCTTCATCACCTACATTATGGTGGACGGTTGGGCAGGCGTGGCCGGGGAGATTTTGAGACTGAAACCTCTCATTATCTACCACTTGAAGAACTTTTTTTTGGTGAAAACCGAAAAGGACAGGGAAGAAGCGATGAATCCAGGACAGATCGATTTCTATTCTTCCGAGCCACGGATCCAACTCTACTTCCTTCTCGGCCTTGTCTACGCCACCGTGACACCTGCTCTTCTTCCTTTCATCATCATCTTCTTCGGGTTGGCCTTCCTCGTTTTCCGACATCAGGTAAAAAATGAGATATTCCTTTCATCATCATCTTCGTCATCATCACCGGAACCAGGTTGGTTAACATTGATTTGGTTTTTTGTTCATGCCAAAGTCGGGTTTAAGTTCGGTTTCTCATACGGATGTAAAAAGAGACCAGCTTGCGAGCCAACCCATATTTGTTTGAGCCGGGCTTAAAATATTTTAGCCCAGAAAAAAGGGTCGGACAAGCCACATCGTCACGAGTCGGGCTCGTGTCTCGCCA